GGGTATCCACAAACTTTAGGATACATCCCAAGCACTTTTTACAGATAGGTTTGAAAGACGTGTGGAAACATCGATTTTATGTCCTGTCTCTATAATATGTTTCGCAATAGAGGAGTTAGGTCACCTGTTCTCAACAATAATGGGTTCTGGGGATTCCATTTGCTTCTAAAGCCCTTACTTGCAGAGATCGATGAGTCCTCCTTATGTATATGTGGCCAGACGAATGTTTAAATTGGTAGGTACAGTGGGATGTGGCTTCATTTTTCGTATGCTCAAAGGGGTTAGATGGACATGTGGGTTCCATATTAACAATGACTGGGATCTTAGATGCATAAAAGTGAACATATAGGGGAGTACATTTTCTACAGAAAATTTGTTTTTTGAATATGAACTGCTGTATCATTCTACTGTATTCACAATCTTTCTATCCAAAGTATTTTTAGTTTAATCTTGATCAGAAAGTACAGTTCCACTTTGTGCCAGTCAGTTTTGTTTTTCACCACCGATTGGCTGTACCGAAATATTAGCTTTTTGTTGACATAGTGACTTCTAGTATGCAGGCTTCGATGACATCTGGTGTTCAAACAGACTGATGCTGGTTTCGAGGCTAATCACTGGAAATGGAGATACATCCGGCTGATGAGTTCAAGATAGGACGAGATTCTCATCCTGGGTCGCAATGCTAGTCATCATCCACCAAATAATAATATTTTCACTAGCTGAATTGTAGGCCTACAGTAACTGATTTTGGCGGTTTTTGTTTTACTCTTATAGTAATGACCCTGAAAAGATAAAACCCATTTGCAGTGGTTATTTTGAGTGTTGAGAAAAAAAATGGCGACAGATGGATCTAACTAGTATCAAGACACATTGGGCAGTGCTCCATTTTCACTTGCTTTCAAACTATAGACAGATCCATCAAATAGCTCTAAAAATAATCTGGAGGATAATGGAAACATTGATATTTGTCGGACAATTTTTTTTCATGTAGCATGTTTTATTTAAGTGATACTTCAAATTCAGAATTTATTTATAGATTATGATGTCTTTAAACTCGTTTTTGAATGTTACATTTCTAGCTATTCCTGCTTTTATAAACTGTATACTGAACAAACATGCTTCACTTGTGGAATTTTACTCAAAGTACATTTTGGGTTAAACTAGAACTTCATTTTTTAGTGTTTATCAATCAACTGTAATTTAATTGAAAGATTTATAAAAGTGTTGCCTCCTTTGTAAAGATAAATTAAAGTTACGAGAAATATATATATGTATATACAGGCGAAAACCAGCAAACTGTCAGAAGACGCTGCCAGCAAAGACAGGACTTCAAGTGGACATAGAGATGACGGAGGTGATGAAGGTAACCAACTGAAAGCAACTGCAACAACAACAACCAGCACCAACCACTATCAACGGAAGATATTTGAAAGAGGTTACTTCGTTCACTTATCTAGGCAATTTCGTTTCGACGACATTTGGATTGCATGCATGAGGAAGTCGAAGCCAGCTAGGGTCGGAAAAGCAAGATAGACCTTCATCAATTTGAAATCGATCTGGAAATCTTCTGCACTCCACCTCAGCATAAAAAACAAGATTCGGATTTCCAACACACATGTGAATTCAGTCAGTTCTTCCATGTAGGTCAGGGACTTGACGCCAGCGTCATGAAAAGCATTTCCAACAGGCAACTGTAGACTTTTATCAAAATCTGCCTTATCTCTGCACTGAAGATAGAATTCGCCAGAAGGAATCAGCAACAAGAAACTCTGGCTGGGAACAAACCAACCAAGAACATGTTGTTCAACAAATCTGTAGAAGACAATGGAGATGGAATGGGTACAAACTGAGGAAATCGTTGAGTGACACCACGCTCCAGTCAGGTCGTCTCTCGACCGAACCACAAATGTGAAGTGACGAGTGCGTCTTTCTAGGGCAAAATGGGAGAGGTCTTGTCAGGAGGAGACGAGAGACTTTGGTCAACTGGGGGGCCAGATGAAGAGGGCTGCAGAAAATTGAACGAAGTAATGACGTGTTGTAGAAGCCAAATGTTCCACTCGGAACCCAAAGGGAACAATTATATATATATATACGACTCTGACTGTTACTATAGATTATGGATCATTGGAGTTGTTTATGATGAGATAACCCAAGCAACTACAACAGAAAGCATAAATCACCATCAGCATCAAGGTATTGTCTATAAGGCGGTGATCAGCATTTTAAACGATATGTGCACGCTTCTAGTTTTCCTTGGAACAACATCACTGACTAGGGAGTGCAGATACAGCTAGCTGACGAGTCCCAAATAGTAAGAAGTGCACATCCTGAATCTGTTGCTTAGGATGATAAGACTGGATATGGCTTAGTGTCTTCCTAGCTCTGTTGAATTGCTTTTCTCCTTTGCTTGCATTCACACCCATTTAACTGTAAATGTCATTCATTCTCACTTAAATTTGTCGCAGAGTGGGTGGCAAGTGAAACGCTGTTCAGTGTGATATATGTGATAGCTAAATAGAGAGATTAGCTGAAGTCTCATATATGCAATGCAGAAAGATTGCATGCACTTAGTTGATATACATATATATATATATATATATATACATGACTGTTAAAATTTATACAGTCGAATCACTTGAGCAAGAGGTGAGACAAAATTTATGTGTCCTTGCTCAGCCTTCAGAATAAATTAAAATGTCATCCAAAATGAATCCAGAGTGTTTCCAATATCAAAATAAGATTTTTTTTCGAACATTTCTGTGCGTGTAAGCCACAGCTACTTGAGATGTACTTGAGAAGAACTGATCAGATTTGACGCAATTTTGTTTATTCTGTGTTTCGCTAACTATTCATGACTGAGACTTGATGAGGTAAGTATTTTTTTCAAACACAAAATGTACATTTTTTATAATAATAACTTTGATATTTTTATTTTTATTACTTTCCTGAAGAAGTTTGAGCCGGATTGCCGGATGTGACGTTTGTACCATTTATTTCACTGAAAAACCTAAGAATACTGAACATTTGATTTGTCATAGTTAGGAACTCTTTTCAGAAATACGCAAAAATCCCCGAGCTTCGAACCCAGGGACTTCTATTATATTAAAGGTTATTTTGTATTTCCCAATGAATGAAAAAGAAAAAGATATTGTTGTTTTTACTGACATTTCGCTATTTAATGCTGCTGCTAATAGCTTTGTCAAAGTATCATTATTACAAAATCTCAGCTTATATATAACAAATTAGTCATCGTTCCTCAGCATGGGGTCATTTTTGCGTTATCAAATTGGCCAACTGATAAAGATAACAAAACTATATGGAGATAATTAGATTTGATAAGTTTATAAGATTATTAAAAACAGCGTGTGTTTACATGATGAAATTGCCTATTATATTCGTATTGATTTTTTCATTTCATGAGGGACAGGGTGTTGTAACCAGGTCAAATTCTGTTTTAGTCTAACGCTCCTTTCAGTTAATTTGGATTCCATTTGATATGAAATGCTTCTGATGTTGTTAGACGTTCTTTTTGATTTCTGAAATTTTTCTGGATGATGATATTAATTTAATATTGTCAAAATCAATTTTGTATCCTGACTCTATAGCGTGCAGACCTATGGCTGGCTGATAATTTTTCAAGCTTTTCTAGTCCAACTGGTGGTCGAACAGATGCTCTACGGTGTTCATTTCTTCTGATTACCTTGTTTCTCTCTGGTGATGTCCTTACGTTGTATATTGCATTTTATTTTATAGATATAATTAGACAGAGAATCTTTGGGGATTCGGTCTTTTATATGGACAAAGTTGTTTCGCAGTGTGTCTGATGTTTTGAAAAAAACTCTGATGTCTAGCTCACTGAGTAGTGTCCTTATATCGTCTGATGCCTCCGCTCTATATGGAATTATAACTGTTGAGGTCCATGTTTTCGGAACACGTTTTCGATCGTACTTAATGTCAGTGTTGATTTCGTTGATGAAGTTTGTTAGGTAGTTGTTTCGCTTGAGAGTCTCAGTAATGTTTGATATTTCTTCTTTTTATTTCTCATCCGTTATCAGAGAGTGTGCTCGTCTAAGAAGACTTGAAACAACTGAAATCTTTTTGCTCATGGGGTGTGATGATCCGCAGTCTAATTATTTATTGGAGTCGGTTTTCTTCCAGAATACAGATATACCAAAATGTCCGTTTTCCGTCCTCTTAACTAGGCAGTTTAGAAACACTAGTTCACCGACGTCTGATTCTGCTTCCGAAGTAAATTGGATTCTGGGAGCTACACAGTTTTTTTCTCCAGGAATGAATTGTGTAGATCTCGTTTTAGCACTACAAAAGTATCACCTACATATTTTAGGAGTGAGTATGCTTGAAACGATGTTATCTTCGAATCTATTCATGAAAAGATCAGAGACTATTGGGGAAACTGGTGAACCCATTGATGCTTTTAATAATCTTATATACTTATCAAATCTAATGATCTGCATATAGTTTTGTTATGTTTACCAATTGGCCAACTCGGCAACGCAAAAATGACCCCATGCTGAGGAACGATGACTAATTTGTTATATATACGCTGAGATTTTGTAATAATGATACTTTGACAAAGCTATTAGCAGCAGCATTAAATAGCTAAACGTCAGTGAAAAGGATATCATCTTATTTTTCATTCATTGGCAAATACAAGAAAATCTTTATTATAATGAATATCATATACTCAATGCCCACATTTTTTCAAACTATTAAAGGTGAACTTGATTTGTACATACACAATTAGGACCTTCTAGTTACAAGACAAGCTCGTAGACTATTCTAACTTCCGTTTATTCACTATATATATATATGTATATATGTATATATGTATGGTGCTAATGTTTCTATAACTGATTACAACTCATGATGAAACCTGTAGCCAATCAAATAGCTGCAAAAAAACCAGCAACTGATCACTGGATAATCACTGAATTCATATTCTCCTTATTATTGTATTGTATTTCATTTAATCAATACAGATTGCAAAACAGAACATGGAGAAATCCAAGGAGAAATTAATTTCCCACATATCGAATTCTATTTCAAATCAAATCAAGCAAGAAAAGCAGGATGAATAAACACTGACTAAAGAGTAATACAAACAAATGCAAAATGAGCAGTTTAACGAAACTGGTGTGTTCTTGGTGCCTTCTTTTATTGTTATTGTTATATGTACATCACAAAAACACATGATGATTGATTGAGATAATGACAATGTCACTTATGACGGTAGACTTTGATCATTGGCCTTATATCTTTGATAAGTTGCTTTCTGACGTTTCTTATTTTTATATACGTATACTATGTACTTTCTATACACTTAGCTGTAATCCTAAAATTCACTATAGCTCCAATATCATACGTATAAAACGCAACACTGTTTCTATTCTGTTGGTTACCAATTTCTGTTCACGTTAATTGAGATCATGATAAGCAAATACGTATTTTTGATTTTTGTGTGTTTCTTTGTATACATGGTTTTGTCAAATGAGATCAATAAATTGATTACACTGATTGGTGTGTTGACTACTTTACATTAAACTTAGCTGGAGAGGGGAGAGTATGGGCGAAATTTGCAACAAGTATTGATTTTGCAGGGATTATGTTTGATTGCATGGAGGATTTCATTATGAGCTGATATCAGTTAGAGAACCAGGTTGAAGATTAGGCAGTAACTCATCGAAAGAGACATTGCTAAATGATTGCGCTATGTCGTGAATTGGCAAGAGTGAGAATTCAAGGACCATTGGATCGGGTCCCAGTGGCTCAATGGTCTACGAGCTCTCCTTGTCACCAGAAGGTCCTGGGTTCGAATCCCGGTGGGTGCGTACTGATGAAGAGTCCCAAACTGGGACTAAACAGCTGTCCAGTACTCCCAGGTTTTCCAATGGTTCTCCAACTGATGTCAGCTCATGATAAAATCCTTCATGAAATTTGTAACAAGTTATATAATTATTATCATTGTTCTCTTGAGTTCCGAGTGGAATATAGGGCTTCCGTAAAGCATTTTTGCTTTGCCCTATATTCTACGGTTGTCTTCACCTAGGTCTACGATTGACCATAATACCTCATCTCCCTCTCGCCACACCATCTCCTCCATGTCACTTCTGGACGAAAAACTGGTTGCTTCTTATTGGGATCTCACCCCAGCTATGGCCTACTTTCCGTGAGATGTCATTCGACGGCCTCTTCGACGTATGCCAAATCTACCTCCATTTTCTCCTAAATATTTGATGAATGATAGATTCTTAGCTAGTTTAATCCAACAGTTTCTTGAAGCTTTTTCTTTCTGAAGAGGTTGATCATTAGTATGGAGACAAAGTAGCTGCTGATAAAAGCTTGTAATTTGTTGGAAATCCTTTTCGTGACACACAGTGCAAGTTTCTAACCCATATGAAATAACTAACTGAGTGACTTCACATTTGTTTTGAAAATCCGATTCTTGTTCTTTATGCTGAAGTAAAGTGTAGAAGATTTCCAAACAGATTTCAGGTTGATAAAGGTGTATCTTGCCTTCTGAATTCTGGCCAACACTGACATCTTCATCTGTTCTGCCTGCCTGTGGTTGAAACCGTGCTTTCTAGTTATATAAGTGAAGGTAGTAACCTCTGCTGAATCTTTCCTGTTGATGGTGATCGGTGCTAGTTGTTGTTGTTCACTGGTTATCTTCATCACCAGCGTTTTTCTGTGTTCACCTGAAGTCCTGATTTTACTGCCTCCCTCTTCTACCACTTTGTTGATTTTCGCTAGTAGGTCTTCTAGTTAGTATGTCATGAAACATAAATTATCTGCGCGCGAAATACATATCTTCTATAGTCTTCTTATCGGTGGACTAGGGTATTTCCGTCTTATCACCCCCAGTGCACATTCTCACGCATAATCCAGTTCACCACAATTAGGACTATCATAGGTGATAATAGACAGCGTTGTCTTTTTCCTGACACGTGTCACTGTCCCATAGCTGCTGAATGAGGTTGATAAAAATGTCGGTCATTGAACATCATTGCGCTGAAGTAGTTTCCAAATGACTTCTCGGTCAACGCTGTCGAATTAGATGAAATTGAGGTCGAGGAAAATTTGACTGCCCTCCTATGCTTTCCTGAATCAAGGTTGTAGTAAGTTATAAGGTCATAATGGAGACCATATAGCCTAAACCTTACTTATTAGTGACAGCATTCTACCAGTCTCATCAATGACTTACTTAACTGAAAATGAACGAAATCTTGCTTCACGAATAAACCTTTCTAGTTATTGGTTCGCAGAGATTCGGTTGACCTCCATATTGATCACAAATTGATCTCAGTTAGAGAAGCATTATAAGCCAGGGAGTACTGAACAGCTGTTTTGTCCATCTTTGGGACTCTTCAGCCTCAAACGCAAGACATTCAGGTTGCAAGGTGAGCTGGTAGATCATTCAGTTACTGGGACGGAATTCAATGACCCGTGAATCCAACTCACCTTACTCTGATATGGTGGACACCACATTTGTCATGACTTCTGAGTACAGCTACAAGAAATCCATTAGAAAGTTATGGCCAGTGGGGTTAATCATGCCAAGATGGAGTTGATACTCACCGATGGAATTGATTGAAGGTATCATTATGTCAGGAACTGAAAGGAGTTAGAATTCACATGTCACTGGGTCCTGGTCTAGGTGACTGAATCGTAAACGAACTTATTTTTGTAACTTAATTTTGAAGGGTCCCAAACGAGGAAGAAACACATGTCCAGTACTCCCAGTTAGTTTCCCAATGGTTCTGTAACCGACGTCAGTTCATGATGAAATCCTGTAACCAATCAATCCTACCCTTACAAAACAATACCTCGTTATTTCTGTAAGTTGAAGGCCGCAGCTCCAATCCCTGTTGGCGTCGTTGCAGCCTACTGATGAAGAGTTCCAAAGATGGATGAAACACATATCCGGTGCACCCCGGTTTTCAATGACCTGTAATTGATGTTGGCTGATGAAGAAATTCCTATTGAAAGGAGTGACTAAAATCTTGCTTCAAGCATAATTGTCTCTAGATGAATCCCTATATTCGATGCTGCATATTTATACATTTATAGGATATAAAAAATAATCCGAATATAGGCTATCATAAACTTCCAATAGTTTAAAGAAAACAGCAGTTCGGAACAAATGTTTTGTATCACTTTACAACTGTTACAATAGCCAATAATTATAGACAATCTGTACTTAAAGATAACAAACTGCTATTTAGCTAATTGCTAGTAAATACAGTACGATATTAATTTAGAAATGGAAGGGAATATATCTACATTGAATTTTGCATGAAAATGTAGGTAGGGCATAAGTATTGACCGTATAACTAAGACTCGTATGAACAATAATTAAATGTGGAGAAACATTTGATGTATTTACGTAACAATACAAGTAAAAGACGACAAAGGATAAGCCATGAACTGATGAGTTATTGGATTCAGTTCCAGTAGTTCAATAGTCAGTGAACTTATCTTGTAACCTGAAGAGTCCTTAAGTAAGGCAAAACATCTTTTCAAAGCTTCCTGAATTTTAGCGGTTCTGTAAATGATCGATATCAAGCTTGGGGATATAAAAGTTTAAAATTGAATTAGTGCTGGTCCAGGTATTAAAAGGTTAAAATAACAAATAAGAGCTAGGAAAATGAGGTATCTGTTCCATTCCTTTCGAAGGTGCAATGAAGTTAAAATTTGTGAGGCATTTCCATGATGTGCTCTGAGGTAGATGATGTTCGGCATCCATTTCCAGAATCATCGGAATTTGACGATTTTATTTGTTCTTTCAGGTACTTAGGAAAGAGACGAAATCTGGAATTGAGTAAAAGTGTGAAAAATTACCTGATCAGTCCAAACGGACAGAATGATAGTTACCTTCTAAAAACTGTATTATGTAGTTTTCATTGTCTTTCGCATGTTTAGGATGAATAGTCATAATTCAGTCCTATTAGGTATTTCCAGCATCCATCTTTTTTCTTATGTTTACTTATTCATCCCGTCCTAGAAGACAACTGTCGATATTAAGCATATTTTCTGGGACACATTTACCAGTTACGGGATTTCATCATAAGCTGACATCAGTTAGAAAACTAATGGAAAACCTGAAAGCACTGAACAGGTGCTCCGTCCTTCATCGGTATGCACCAACTGCCAGGGTTCAAACAGACTACTTTCCGGTTACGAGGCAAGCTCGTAGATCAGTCAGTAACTGGGAACCGATCCAATGTAGAACGCATGAATTCCAGCTTCTGTCAATTCACTAGCTACTGGACAGATTCAGGTAGGTAGTGACCTGGGTTCTAGTGAGAAGTCGTGACCAGTGGTGTACAGCAGGTCGGGCGTGAGGATAAATACCCGCCACAGGTGACACTGACTAGTGGTTCATCTATGTCGCGAATTGTGAGGAGTTAAAGTTCATGGGCCATTGAATCAGGTCTCAGTGGCGAAATGTTCTCTGAGCTCGCCTTGTAACCGGAAGGACCTGGGTTCAAACACTGCCAGTGCGTGCGTACTGATGAGGAGTCTCAGACTAGAACATAACAGTTGTTCTGTAGTCTCAGGTTTCCCAGTGGTTTTCCAAATGATGTTGACTCATGATATATTCTTATAACCAGTCAAATCCCCCCAAACCAACCTTTAAACACATTAACCAATTTCTGATAGGTTTCATAAATTCCTTGTTAAATATGAATACGACTTCATAGCTTTTAAAAAATGGTCCATCAGAAAGAAAATTTTCTCCAATGCTATGTTGTCTTCTGTTTATGTATTAAACACATTCAATTGTTAATTATTAGATGAATCAATAAATTACGAAGGTTTCTTCATAAACCTTGGCAAACGAATACATTTCAATTAACGTGATCATCACACACCTACCTGCGAAGTCAATATATTTAAAAATAGAATATATTGAAGGTTAAAGCAATTGTGCATTTAAGACTATGGATTATAGTAATGATCACCAGTATGGGTAATAAATATTATCAGACAACGATAACCAGCGTAGATAGGTAAGATGTGACAACCTTTGGTCAAGTATTGGTTTTTTAAGAATTTTGTTTGATTGGTTGGAGGATTT